AATCTAACTTTTTTTGGTAGTACAATTATTGCATTTGAAAAAAGTTGATTTTCCAAAATTATCCTTTTGATAGTACATTTTTTGGGAATATCAATGCATAATTGTACTTTTTATGTTGTTTATTAATTTAAAAGAAGGGTAAAATAGGAAATTTATATTATTTTTGTACTTGATTTTTGAAGAGGGACTAATATTTTGGGACAATGAAAAATGGAATAAGGGACTAATATTTTGGGACGGAGGGAGTAATTTTTTAATATATTTTATTTTTTTCGAATTATTTTAATCTGATAGCCCCAAAAATTAACAAGCCCAACTAGCGCAATGTTTACTTTTGATTTGACTTTTTGGGATTTGTTGATGGTTTTCAAATTGGGCCGATTTCTTCTACATTTTGAGTAGTTATACAGTCCGTATAGATGACAGACTCATGTTAAGTGTGTTGGGCCATTATAACAATGACCCTGTTTGGTAGGATTTATTTTCAGTTTATTTTAATTTTTAACTTAATTTAAGTTATTTTGATGTGTTTGGTTCAACTTAACAATACAGCTCATAACTTTTTGTAAGTCAAAAATCAACTTATTCTTTGAGTGGGGGAGGAGAAACTTAATTTATAAATAAAAAATCAGCTTATGTTCACAGTTATAAGTTATAAGCTATAATCACTTTCCCACATGTGTCATCTCTGAAAAATTTAATAAATATTATAAAATATAAAATTCAATACATTTTCGTATTTTTTATATTTATACAATTTTTAAATATTTATTTACAAATATTTTAATTTTTGAGTATATTTAGATTAAATACATCTAAAAAATATAAACAATTGACCAAAATATTAAAAAAAATAAAAAATATGAATTAAAAACTCAAAATATGATTTTGAAAACTAGATAACCAAACAAAGTATTGTGCTTCTTTATTTTGTGTGTTCAAAAAAAAAAATAATAATATAATAAAATAAAATAAAAATCTTATCGTGTTTTTTTGTACCTAGTCAGTAAATGAATTGGACTGCTCGTGAGCTCAACTCTTCTTGACTCGATAAGGGTTTAGCCCAACTCAGTTCAATACTTATATAAACAAGTTACCTCTAAATTTTTAAGTTCATTTAATAAACGAGTCAAGTTTAAGTTAAAATGAGTTTGATTGGTAAAGTTCGATTCATTTATTATTTATTCAAATAATAATATAAATATATTAATTATATATTAAATAATATAAAATGTGCTATATATGTATATTTAGAATAATATTTAACTAGTCAGCTAAATTAGATTATTAAGCTGAACATTTTTTTTACTTGCGAGTTTCGAACCAAGTTAGAGCATGAATCGTACTAGCAGGTTAAGTTTGAACTAGATTGATTTTCGAATTGAACTGAAGCTTGATTTTTGAACTTTATAAATAAACGAGCTGAACTTGAACCTTGCAAAGCTCAACTCGACACGACTCGACTCAACTTATATATAGCCCAACTCATACCTATCCATGGATAAAAACAAAGGTTGGATTGAGAGGGGACAATAGGTCTTTTCTCTCATCTAAATTGGGTTGTTTCATGGCCTCGTAAGAGGATGAATAAATAAGCAATTTTTTTTGAAGATTATTTAGTTTTGCTTTAGAAAGATGGTTAAAAATTGGCTTTTCAATTTTTTTTTGACTTTTTAAACTTTTTTATGTAAAAAATGTGAAAAATAATGTGACTCAAAATAAGTTAAAAGTTAAAAAGCTAACTTTTAGCTAGCTTCTCAAATTGCCCCTTAGACGTTATTAATTGCTAGTTAGACAAGTTAAATAAAAGAGTAAATTACATTGCCGTCCCTATTATGTAGTTTCTCTGAAATTTCTCTGTTTATCAAAAGTTGTAAAACCCAGTTGAAATTTCCGAACATAATTGACCCTAGATGTGTTTCCCCCCCCCCCCCCCCCCCGGCGTATTTCAACTACCATTGTTTTTTGTTAGATAAATTATAAATACACCTCCCGAGTTTTGTTTAAAATACGAATTGTCCCTTATAGTTTGAAAAATTACAAATACCTGCCTGTCAGAATTTTTTATTTAACAGAATCAATTGAAAAAGTGAAATTTCTAACAGTTCACTTATACAATAATAAAATTATCTGAATTATTAATTGAAATAAAATTTTAACATTATTAAAAACTATTAATTAACTTGATGATTTATTAATAAAAAAACCTATTTGTTATGAAATTAAAAACATTAGGGGACATAATGTAATTTCTAAAATCACATGAGTTAATTTGTAATTTAAGTAAATCTCAGGAGGTGTGTTTGTAATTTACCATTGTTAGTTAGACTAGTCAAATAACATAATAAATTACACTGTAGTCCCTATCTATTATGTAGCTTCTCTGAAATTTCTTTGTTTTTCAAAGGTTGAAATTTCCTGCAGTCCCTTGATTTTTTTTTCCTGTATTCTACTACGGCGAAGTTTCTCTGTAAAATTATGGTATGGCACCCCCAAACGAAAGTAGAAGAAGAAGAAGAAGTGGTGGTCCATTGAAATTAGTGGTTAAAATTAACGATTTCGAAATATTTGTTAATTTCTTAAAGTGTACAGGTAGAAAAAATTAACAAAAACTTGGACAAAAAGAGTAAATTGAAATTAGACTTAAAGTGTAAAAATTAAATTGTTCAAATTAAAACTAAAAGGACCAAAATAAAATTTAAATTAAACTATATGGTAAAAAGTGTAATTTACCTTATAGCTTTTATTTTCACAATTACATCTCTTTTCTTTTTTTTCTTTACAAATTAAAGATTTCAAATACAAGCTCCGTTTATTTTGACATAAATTATTTTTTGAGAAACATTTTCTGAATTTTGTGGTATTAGGTAAATAAAAAATGAAAATCAATAGAAAAAGTTTCCCACGGTTTGAAAACAGTTTGTATAGTCGACAAAAAAATAAGTTTATTTAAAAGGAGAATAATCCTCTCCCGTTGGAGGGCATTCTTTGGGTCTGTGGAGCTCACCACGAGTCTCATTTTGATGATCTGAATCGTTCATTTTGTCGAATATTTCGTATATTTTATTCACAAAAAATTAAATTAATCCGATAATTGTAGTTTGTTCAATTTTTTACTGAAGAATTAGACAGTAATTGTATTTTTAAAAATAAACAATACATTTTTTTAGTCACAAACACAATAAATTGAACAAGTGTTATCGGATCAACCTAATTTTTTTGGACGAAATACACAAAGTGCTCGACAAAATGAATAGTTCGGATTGAAACGGGGCCTATGATGGGATCCACGGGTCCAAACAGCGCATTCCAATCCAAAATCTGGACAGGAGGGGATCTTCCCTCTATTTAAAAAAGATGAAAAATATTTCCAAACTAAGGGCCTGTTTGTTTTCAGAGGTAGAATGAAGGGAATTGTTAGTGAGAGGACTGCTAGTGAGGGGATTAAGAAAAATTGTATTTGTTTGATAACCAGTGAACTAGTAATAGTTCATTCTTGTTTTGAGAGATAAAATTGAGATTAACCATATAAAATTTCACAAATACCCTTTGCATTATTATCAAATTTGGGCTTATAACTAAAGAAAAAATATCATCATGTTTTCTCTCTCTCTAAAATGCTAGAGAGCAATTCAGCCAACAGCTCCATCCCTCACGATTCTACCATAACAGCTAAGTCCATTGAGGAAGAAGACCATCTAATCCGAAATACCAAGAAAATAAAGAGCTCACAAAACTTGAAAACCAGTGAAATGGACAATGAAGTGGTAATGGCTCCTACACCAAGGGATAATGAATCAAACCATCAAATATTGTCGTCTCAAGGCAGTTTACCTGCGAAATCCTTCAAGGAAACACTGACTACAACGAGACATAGCGCCTATTCATTTGATGACAGTATGGAGATTCTCTCATTAGATGAAGAAGAAGATGACCAAAAGGGACACCCAAATACTGAGCAACCGCCCTCGGAATTCATGAATCTGCCCACAATCTCCCTCCCCAAAAAGCTCCTACAAAAGATCCGAAATCCATGGGAGAGCGCACTAACCATCAGACTACTGGGAAAAAGTATTGGCTACAACATGCTTTGCATTCAGGTTAAGAATATTTGGGGGCTTCAAGATAAGTTCAATGCAATTGATTTGGGATGCAATTATTTTTTATTCAAGTTTTCTCATCAAGAAGACTATACTAAAGTATACACTGGAGGCCCCTGGGTGATCATGGATCACTACCTAATAATAAGAAAATGGGAACCAAACTTCAAGCCTTCGGAAGCTTTTGAAACCACAACTGCAATTTGGGTTCGGTTTCCGGAACTTCCAATAGAATACTACCAGGATAAAGTCCTATTTGCGATTGCCAAAACCATTGGCAAACCCTTGAAGATCGATTGGACAACCGCAATGGCAACCAGAGACAAGTTTGCAAGAATATGCGTAGAAATAGACCTCACTAAACCACTAATTCCCAAATTTGTTCTAGAAAAGAAATGCTATAATATAGAGTATGAATCCCTTCATTCTTTCTGTTTCCTTTGTGGACGTATTGATCACCCGAAAGAAGCATGCAGATTCAGACCACAAAATGCATAGCCGGCGAGGAAAAAGGTAGTCGTTACCGATGTGGAAAGCTGCGATACACTCATTGCTGATACCAACGGTAACCTGCAACCTCGGGAAGCTATGGAAGAGGAATTTGGGCCTTGGATACTGGTAACTAAGAGGGATAGAAGACCTATTCAGCCCAAGAAAGCTCAAGAAACACCTGGCCCAGCAACTGAGCCCAATAAATTTAAATATTTGGAAGATATTCAGGAGGGGCAGAGAGAACAGTCACGGGGCTATAAGCACACTAGAGTAGGAGCTGAAAAGGCCATGAGCAACCACACAACCCAAATGAATCCAAACCAGACCTAGGAACCCACAGATAAAAGCAAGCTGGACCAGAACTTAACCTCAACCAAAGGGAAAAACAAACTAACCCAACACCAACCCATGGACACACCAATTGGTGCTAGTACATCAAAGCAAGTGAAGGAATCTGTTGCAGAAATCCTAGACCCTGAATACATTGAAATAGACAATTCCACTAGTGAGAACCAACCACATTTTGGAGTGACTGACATGCTATGCGTCTTAGATACTAACACTCGGCAAGAGAACTTGACTACACCCATAGATAAAGATATTCTAATACACTTCACCAACTCTATTTCAGATATCACTAACTCAGTTATTAGTTTCACACCTGTACCCATAGATCCGTTGCTATAAGAAAGAGAACCTCTTAACCCAGGTGAACAAAACAATGGAGAAAAAATGAGAAATTAATTTAGAGGCTTAGAGGCCAATTGTAGAGGAACACCTGAGACACACCAGCTCGATGGGGCTGTTGTTAGAACCAGGGAATGAAGCTCTTCACCTAGTCGCTTTTGCCTGGTGAATAGAACAACTTCGGTTAATCATCGAGCCAAGTTGGAGGGACAACCGACCACACTCACTCCACTCAGTGCAGATGGCCTCCCTCAGATCAACGGAAGACAATCATCGGAGAATACGTAGTATCGTAGATATCGAAGGTAACAACTCACCAACATTCCTTTCTATGGATTTAATCCGTTTTCTGTTTTGGAACTGCTGTGGTGTTAGCAATAACAAATTCAAGCATAATCTTGTGGAAATTATTAAGACACATAAACCAGAGATTCTGGTCCTAATGGAAACTAAGGTGGCCTTCGGCACTATGAGGGGCTTGGTTTGGCATAATAAAAAAAAGCTAAAAAGTCAAAAAGTCATTATCCTATTTAAGTCACATAATCTCTTTCCCACATCACTTTAAACCCAACCCATATCCAACCCATATTTCATAAAAAGTTAAAAAGTGCACTTATTTAGTTTATCCCAAATAACCCTTTAGTTCTTCAATCGCCTAGGATTCACAGCCTCGTCAACAATTAATCCCGTGGGCAGAGTGTGAAGCATATGGATTGTTTGGGATACCAACCAAGTGAACGTTAGAGCATCTACAGTTAGTCCACAAGTCATTCATGCTACTATCCACAGGGAGGACTATGAGGAATGGGTACTGGCTACTGTTTATGCCAGCCACAACCCCAACCCCAACCTTAGAGAACAGCTATGGCAAGACCTTGAAGATGTAGTGGACACCATGCAACAGCCTTGGCTGGTTGCTGGTGACTTTAATGACTATGCAAATCAAAGAGAAAGAAGGAGTTTCTCAACTAACCACAATACTAGTAGAACTCAAAAATTCCTTGATCAAGTGAATCGCTGTAATCTCATTGACTTGGGCAGCTCTGGACCTCGTATGATGTGGACAAACAATAGACAAGGGCTAGCTAACACCATGGAGAGACTTGACCGAGCACTGTGCAATGCGGAATGGAGGACCATGTTTCCCGATGCCATAGTTAGAGTTCTCCCTAGAACTTACTCTGATCACTCCCCCCTTATTGTCTACACACAAGGTATGCACACTTTAAACCCTCGTAATAGGCCTTCCATTTTGAGGCCGCTTGGATGTCTCATCCTGACCTTATTAATGTTATTAAATCTTCTTGGCATAATATGAACAATCACCTCCTTGACTCTATTGCTTACTTTACTAATAGTCACTAAATGGAATAAAGAGGTTTTTGGGAACATTTTTAAATGTAAAAGGAGACTCCTTGCTAGAATTGAAGGTACCCAAAAAGCTTTTGCTGAAAATTTTACCCACAACCTTTAAAATCTTGAACACATGCTTATTAAGGATTGCAATGAGACGTTGTTACAGGAAGAAATGCTCTGGTTCCAGAAATCTAGATCCAAACATATCACCCTCGGAGATAAAAATACCAAATATTTTCATATATCCACTCTAAATAAGAGGCGTAAACTTAAAATTAATGCCCTTAAGAATGATGAAGGTAATTGGATTAGTGATAATGAGGGGGTTAAAAACATCATCCTTGATTATTTTCAGAACCTCTTTAGCAAAAGTGTCACTCAACAATTAGACCACTGGAAGAATAACACCCCAACTAAATTCTCTAAGGAAGATAACAATGGCTTTTTGAAGCCTTTGTCCAATCTTGAAATTCTTCAAGCTGTGAGAAATATAGGTGCCTTTAAAGCCCCTAGAGCTGATGGCATCTAGGCAATCTTTTATTATAACTATTGGAGTATTGTTAATAAGTCTGTGTGTGAGTTTGTGAATACTTGTTTCCACAGCAATTCTGTTCCTGTATCTGTTAATGAAACTCTCATTGTTTTTATCCCTAAGATTGACAACCCTATCAATATCAAACAATTCAGGCCCATCAGCCTCTGCAATGTTACCTATAAGATCATTTCAAAAATTGTTATAAATAGAGTTAGATCACTCCTGGATAGCTTGGTGAGCCCCAACCAAAGTAGTTTTATTCCGGGAAGGAATACTGAGAGGGGAGATTTGCACCGGTCAGTACGGTCGAGCTACGGTAACGCGGGTATGGCAAGCCTCTCGGTGCCGAGCTATCTCCTCAATCGGCACGGCCGTCCGGTCTGTTTTACACGGTCGGGCTAGGTTTGCCGATCAGGCATGCTCTAAGGCCTGGCCGAGTTGTGGCTGTTAGGCATTCGGCGGTAGACGCGCGTTGGCACGGCGTGACTGAGAAGATGACAGTCCGGAAAGAGTCTAGGCCGGGAAGAGGTCAGCGTGTGCCCGACCGGATAGCTCGGAAGCTCGGTCGTATTCTTTGTGGTTGTGATTTTCTCCAAGGAATAGGCCGGTCTTGGTATGCCGGTCAGGTGTGTCACTTGAGCCAATGGCGTGAGGGAGAGGATATCTGCTCCAGGCACGTGTAGACACCCCATTTTTGGGATAGCTCGGAAGCTCGGTCGTATTCTTTGTGGTTGTGATTTTCTCCAAGGAATAGGCCGGTCTTGGTATGCCGGTCAGGTGTGTCACTTGAGCCAATGGCGTGAGGGAGAGGATATCTGCTCCAGGCACGCGTCAGTACCGTTTGGCAATTTTGCATATACTGGATGGAGGATTTGGCCTTTACATGTGTAAGGTGGTGGGAGGTGAGCACAACCAACTGTCCAGGAAAGGACAGCAGAGGTAGTGCGCGCACAATCGTGAGGCTGCATGGCCAGCCTAGAAAAAAGAAGGGAGGATGAACGTTAGAGGCAAGCAACTTGAGCTATCTGAAACACACTCTCTCTCTCTCTCGAAGAACCTCATTCTTCCTCAAGTGATCTGACTTGATCGTCGGAGGGTCTATCCGGCACACCACCGTCGGGCAGCTCACCGTTTTCTATGTTGTCAAGTTAGACGCTATCACGTGAAGCTTGAACTCCAAGTAGTACGGAAAGCAGAGGATATTTCGCCCCCATACAATTGACGCCGTCTGTGGGAAGTTCTTTGATACTCAAACCTTGTTTTTCAAGCTTCTTCATCCATCTCCATGGCCAACAAAGATGAAACTCCACTGTCCGTCATCGATGGCGTCACACCAGAGTCTGTCCGACGGAGAGAAGGCCCCCCGAATGTTCCAGCCATGGCGGGCCTAGAAACTTCTTCACGAGGCGCGCGAGACAAACGCGGAAGGAGTACTGATCGCTCGAAGAGTCCAGAGGTCCGACGGTGGCGGGGGGAGTCCTGTGTGCAGCACCTGGAGCACAAACTCAAAGACCAAGACACCCTCATTCACAGGATGGCAGCGGAGATGGAGATGCTGAAACGCCAGATTAAGGGGAAGGGTGTTGCTGGAGAAGGCAACCTCAGTGAGCGCACCCCGTTCCCCCGTTCTAGCAGTCGCCGCCAGGAGAGGACCCACTCTCTCTCCATCACCAGGAACTATGGGGTTGGAGATTCCGACCGAAGGGAAGGCAGATCCCACACTCAAGATAGCACATGACGTCCCTCGCGCCATTCTCTGACGTCACAATACTCTTTCTCCACCTGTTCCAGAGACCTAAGGGATGTATTGGAGGAGAGGGCGCGCCGTCGAGAGGCTCAGAGAGTGCCGACGTGGCAGAGGTTGAGCGCCCCAGTTCACTGTAGCGAAGAAGTGGCTATGCCAGCGCCCAGAGTGATGGCCCATGCGCCAGTGGACAAAGAGCTGGCGAGACTTACAGCCACGTCGTTGTCCCTGGAGATCGAGAGTACACCACTCCCTACCGGATTCCACCAGCCTAAGTTCACCTTGTACGACGGCAAAACGGATCCATACATGCACGTGAGTCATTACCGGCAAGTAATGGTTGGCCACCGGCGCAATGACGCCTTGATGTGCCTCATATTCCCAGCGAGCTTAGGAGAACTGGGCCTGAAGTGGTTCGAAAGGCTTCCAGAAGGGATTATAGAGGGGTGGCAGTAACTGGCGGAAGCCTTTGTCACCAGGTTCAAAACCAACACTCGAACGCCGAAGGAGGTCGATCATCTTCTGGGCGTCAAGATGGAGTCAGGGGGATCATTGAAGGCATACAACGCAAAGTACTGGGAAACCTACAACGAAATCCTTGACTACCCTACCAATCTGGCGATCACTCAATACAAGCGGGGTCTCCCAGTCGGGCATAGGCTGCGGGATTCGCTCACAATGCACCAACCCACAACCATGGAATCCTTGATGCAACGGATCAATGAGCACATTCGTGTAGAGGATGATGCCGCCTCGGCGACCGAGAAGGTTAATCTAGCCGCAGCAGATAAAAGGGTAGCAGGGAAAGTTCACTCGGTCGGGCAGGAGGATAACTGCCCGAGCGACCGGCCAAGAGATCAACGACGTGGCCCAAACCGCGATGACAGAAACAAAGGTCGCAGAAACGACCGAGCTGACGCTCCTCGTGATGCAGCGGAGGATGCTAAGAGAAAATTGAAGGCGCGGACTAGAATCACCACGGTCTTTAAAATCCCTATCTACCGCATCTTGAGTGAGATCAGAGGCGAGCCTTTTATCCGCTGGCCGGCCAAGTTGGGGAATGCACAGAGAGGCTTCAACTCAAGGTATCGCTGCACCTTCCATGAGGAACGGGGACACCGAACGGAGGACTGCTTGCCGCTCAAACAACATTTGGAAGAGCTAGTGGCCGTGGGACATCTTGCCCAATATATAGATGGGGGTATGAAAGCCGCGCCATTGGGGCAAACCGAGCCAAACGGCCTAGCCGCCCTAGAGGCAGCACCCCAAGGCGTAATCAACGTCATCCATGGCATCGTTGAACCAGCAAGGGTCTGCGAGCTCAGAGGGATGATTAAGAAAGCCGAGCACATGAGGGAAGTGCTCTCCGTTCGGCCCGCTGTGAAGAAAGGGAAGACCGAGGAGAAGGACATTCTTACCTTTTCGAGCAGGGACTTGGAGCGGATCCAGATGCCCCACAATGACGCCCTAGTGGTAACTCTTCGCGTCAAAGACTTTGACATCAAGAGGATCTTGATCGACCAGGGAAGTCCGGTCGAAATTATGTACTATGACGCGTTCAAACAAATGAAGTTGGAGGACAAGGACTTGGCCCCTGCGACGTCCCCTTTGGTTGGCTTCAACTCTCAGCCAGAGTGGCCGGTAGGGAAGATCATACTACCGGTCAAAGCAGGTTCAATCACAAAGCAGGTAGAGTTCTGGGTGCTCAAAGTCCCATCCACCTACAACTTAATTTTAGGCAAGGGTTGGTTGCACGCCATGCAAGCAGTAGCGTCGACTTACTATCAGGTCTTGCGCTTCCCGGCACCAAACGGACAAATAGAGGAAGTCTGGGGAGACCAGGTGATGGCGAAACAATGCTTCGTTGCAGTAAATGGCAGCCGAGCAGCTAAAGGATTTGTCCAAATGATTGAGGGACCCAAGGGAAAGGAGGTCCTTAAAGACGTAGGAAGAAAGGCTGAGGAAAAATCGGTCGAGGATTTGGTGGAAGTGCGCATCGACGAGAATGACCCAACTAAGTTCTTCCTCTTGGGATCATCTTTGTCTAGCGCTGAGCAGTTGAATTATGTCAACTTCTTGGTTTCTAACATGGAGGCTTTTGCGTGGACGCCTTACGATATGCTTGGCGTCAACCCTAATTTCATTTGCCATCAGTTGAACGTCTTCCCGAATGCGCGGCCAATCATTCAGAGGACTCGCCGCTCGGCTCTGCACCATGCCGAGGTAGTGGCAGAGGAGGTCAAAAATCTGCTGGAAGCAGGAGCGATAGAAGAAGTGCAATACCCTCGCTGGATATCCAACACGGCGTTCGTTCTGAAAAAGAATGGCAAGTGGCGAGTCTACGTTGACTACAAGACGGTCAGCCGTGCTTGCCCAAAGGACAGCTTCCCCCTCCCTCGAATTGACCAGGTGGTGGACTTGACCGCTGGCCATCAGAGGTTTAGCTTCTTGGATGCATATCACGGCTACCACCAGATAGCCATGTATGAACCGGACCGAGAGATCACATTGTTCACTACTCCTAGAGGCCTGTATTGTTATAAAGTCATGCCTTTCGGACTGAAGAACGCCGGGGCAACTTTTCAAAGGATGGTGACAAAGATATTCGCTCCTCTTTTGGGTCGAACAATGGAGGCCTACATCGACGATATGGTGGTAAAGAGTAAGGAGAAGTCTCAACACCTCACCGACCTAGCAGAAATGTTTGCCATACTTAAGTGCCACAAACTTCGTTTGAATGCCTCCAAGTGCGCCTTCGGAGTCGGCACCGGGAAGTTTCTGGGGTTTTTGGTCACAAACCGAGGGATTGAAGCTGACACATCACAGATCAAGGCTATACAAGAGCTGGAGCGCCCAAACTCCACGAAGGATGTGCAACATCTTGCCGAGATGGCCACCGCGCTGAACAGATTCATCAGCCGGTCTTCAGATCGTTGCAAGCCCTTCTTTAAATCTTTGAAGGCCAAGTTCTTTTGGGATGACGAATGTGACCGTGCACTGGCAGACTTGAAAATATACCTTTCCTCAGCCCCTATCTTAGTCACACCTCGGCCGGGCGAAGAATTGTATCTCTACTTGGCTGTCTCTCAACATGCTGTGAGCGCCGTCCTAGTCCGCGTTGAAGGCATCCAGCACTTGCCAATCTTCTATGTGACCAAGACTTTGCTCCCGACCGAGACGAGGTATCTTCCGCTGGAAAAATTAGCGCTGGCCCTGATGATGACATCAAGAAAGCTGTCGCACTATTTTCATGCCCATACGATAGTTGTGTTAACCGAGTTCCCACTTAAGGTGCTTTTTAAAAAGGCAGACTTCACCGGAAGAATTTTAAAATGGGCCGTGGAATTGGGGCAGTACGATATCAAGTTCCGCTCGCACACCGCAATCAAGGCTCAAGCTCTTGCAGACTTTGTGGCGGAATTCGCCCCTGGAACGCATCCAGTTTGCCCGGTTGATTTGGCTAGTACGGATTTAGCGCAGCCCAAGTTCTGGCAATAGAAACGAGTGTTGGCTCAAAAGCAGGAGAAGGCCGAAGAGCGACCGAACTAGAGGAGCCGGGTGACTTCTTGAAAGACGTGCTCAATCAATACAAGGAAAGAGACCAGAATGCACCAATCAGAGACTTGGAATTGAGAAGCTCCCAGAACCCTTCTGATTGCTGGAAGCTGTTTATTGGTGAGATGTGGAAGCTCTTCATCGATGGGGCATTCAACAGGCAAGGGGCCGGGCTGGGTATCGTACTGACTTCACCGGATGGGCTGATTATCGAGTAGGCAATAACGCTCGGCTTCCCAGCATCCAACAACGAGGCGGAGTATGAAGCCCTCCTTGCCGGACTAAGAAGCGCATTAAGAATGAAGGCGTCAGCCCTAATGGTATTCAGGGATTCCAAGCTGGTGGTCAATCAGGTCTCGGGGGAGTATGAGGCAAAGGACGAAAGAATGGCCAAGTATCAGGCGCTGGTACGCGCAGAAATCAAGAAGTTCGCCGCAATAAGGATGGAACAAATCAACCGTGAAGAAAACAACACGGCTGATGAATTGGCCAGACTTGCTTCTGCTCAGACAGCTTTTCCTAACCCGTTGATGATAGAATTTTTACCTCGGCCAAGCATTGAGAAACCAGAAATGACCAAGGTGCTCTGCGCCGACTTGGGTGCTTCCTAGATGGACCCCATCATCATCTTCCTGAAAGATAGAGTTCTACCAGAAGAGAAGAAGGTGGCCAACAAGATCCGGGCCAAGTCAGAGCGGTTTTGGCTCTCCCCGTCCGGAGCCTTGTATAAGAAGTCTTTTACCGGGCCGTATCTGAAGTGCGTTCACCCTGCTAAGGTGGAAGCCTTCCTTTATGAGATCCATGAAGGCATCTGCGGCAGCCATACTGGAGGTAGGTCATTGGCTTACAGAGCAATTTCCCAAGGTTATTGGTGGCCATGCATGCAGGCAGACGCGCAGAAATACGTTCGCCGATGTGAAAAGTGCCAGAAATTTGCTCACTAGATCCACCAGCCAGCGAGAGAATTGCTCCCCCTTACAAGTCCTTGGTCGTTCGCACTCTGGGGATTGGATATAGTGGGGCCACTCCCAGCAGCCCCGGGCAATCGCAAATTCTTCATCGCCGCCACCGACTACTTCACAAAGTGGGTTGAGGCTGAGCCACTGGCGACCATAAAGGAAAAGGATGTGAAGAAGTTTGTTTGGCAAAATGTTATCACTCGCTTCGGTATACCCAACGCCCTCATCTCAGATAATGGCACTCAATTCGATGGGAAACTCTTTCGCGGATTTTGCGAAGAGCTGAAGATCGAATTCTATAATTCAACGCCGGCCTATCTGTAGTCAAATGGTCAAGCAGAGGCCTCAAACAAGACCATCCTGGACGGGCTGAAGAAGCGGCTTGAGAAGGCCAAGGGGAAGTGGGCTGAAGAACTCCCTAACGTACTCTGGGCGTACCGCACTACGCCAAGACGGTCGACCGGGGAGACTCCGTTTGCCTTGTCCTATGGCATGGAAGCCGTTATCCTGCTGGAAATTGGCATGCCAACCATCCGGTCCGAAAGCTTCCAGCCAGATTTGAACAATGAAGTAGTGGCATTGGAGCTAGACCTTGCCGAGGAAAGGAGGGAGCGGGCCCTAATCCACATAGCGGCCTATCAGCAAGAACTCTCCAAGAAATACAACAAGGCTGTGCACCCCAGGCTGTTCAAGATCGGGGACTGGGTCTTAAGAAAAGTGCTGGGCAACACGGTGGTCCCTGGCGAAGGAAAGCTCGGTGCAAATTAGGAAGGACCATACAAGGTGATTGGTCTTGCTGGCAAAGGGGCATACCATCTGGAAGATTTAGATGGCAAAGCTGTCCCCAGACTGTGGAATGCAGCCAACCTTAAGATCTTTTACTTTTAAAATGTAATTGCTTAGCTTTTTAGACCTTTAGCCTTTTGGCATTTGATGTAAAGATAGCACTGCTTTTTGTAATGAAAAATAGCCCTCTTGTTGTTTTGTATCACATCTTTCCATACAATGACACCGCAAGGATACAAGGCCACTACGGATGCCAGGGGCAAAGGGACCGACCTGAATGGGACCGGACTAATCTTCTCTCACTGGTATAGAAGCGGACCGCACCAACAGTGGTGTATTATTGTCCAACGAAATGATTGGTGTATGGAACAATTCACGTAAGGGCCGAGCTGGTTTTTCGCTCGCCCAATTGGGATGTTGGCGTCATGACCTACCTAAATGAAATATTGGTGTTTTGCCCAATGTTAAGGCCGAGCTAATTCTGCTCGGCCGAAATGAAATGTTGGTGTTGTCCAACAAATAATAGCCGAGCTGACTTTGCTCGGCCAAGCGCTATGTTGGTGCCTTGTCCAACTTACAAGAGGCCGAGCTGACTTCGCTCGGAGAAAGGAAATGTTGGCGTTCTATCCAACTCCATGTCGGAATATTGGTGTTTTGTCCAATTTAATGGCTGAGCTGGTTTTGCTCGGCCGAAGCAAAATAATTGAAATTTGTCCAGCTTCCTTTAGGGCCGAGCTGATTTTTGCTCGCTCAAATAAAAGACTTGAAGTGTTGTCAAAGCCAGAACAACCGTGGTAATTTTTGCCTGCTCGAATGAAAATTTTTGGGTTCGTTCAAAAAAAAAAAAAAAAACTGAGCTGAGAGTAGCCACGAACATTTAAATTGAAGAAATTTTGAGCGGCCAACTGGCCTATCAGTTGTGGTACATTAAAGTTTGAATCAGGACATTTTGCACGTTGCAACCGAACAAAAAGAGAAGATCAGTGGGAAAAAAGTTGAAATTTCATTGATTGAGGAAATTGCATTACAATTGTGGGGCCCTAGCCCGGTTACATTAAACAAAGAAAGAAAAGAGACGAAAATAAAGCAGGAAATAGGAGGGGGCATTTCAGTCCAATTCCAGGTCAACCGTCTGCTCGGCGACCTCCAGAGTCTGCTCAGCAACCTCCGCACTGTGCTCAGGCAAGCCTTCTTCCAACTCATCATCCGCGTCCTCTACCGCGATAACCTCCCGATCGGCTACTTGATCTTTGGCATCCTGAGATGCTTCAGGAGAAGTTTGCTCGGTTTGTTGCGCGGCGGCGGCTTCTTCCGCGGCTTCCTTTTTGGCCTCCTCTATGAGCCTCTTCTGCGCGGCGCTCGCATAGGCCTGCATATAGTGCGGTATGAAGGCCGCAGGCGGATGTAGGAACATGTCAGCATCCTGACCAAGGCCAACTTTCTCCCAGGTAGCTTTCCAACCACACTGGAAAAAGATGTCATCGGTTGCCTGCACCTGCCGTTCATACGTTTTTTCGCCTTACGCATAGCCCCTGTCTTTGGCGTCACTAACCGCCTTATCTTTCTCCTCTTTATGGGCATCGCGTAGCTTCCTCAGCTCGGCGAGATACTGGGCTTTGGTCAACTTCACGGCCCGCTATTTGTCCGCTTCAGCTCGGTCAACCTTTTGGCTCAGGTTATCTCGTTCGGCCTCAACTGCTTCCTGCGCGGCCTTAAGCTTCGCTATCTCGGCCTTTTGGGCCTTGTTTTCAGCAATGGCCTCGCGAAGACTTTGCCGCACGGCGATCATGCGCTCATGGGCGAGATAGTTCTTTTGCGTAGCCTGCAAACAAATGAAAGATTGTGAGTATTCAGAAAATCGAGCAAAAACCATGCAATAACTTGAAGAAAGGAATGGAGAACTTACCAACACGATCAACTTAGCCGTCGAGTGAAGCACCTTCAGGTCGGACAGCTCGTCTTGCTTCTTCATGTCGGCAGGAAGGATTAGCCCCTTGGTTATGTTGAAACCGAGGGAATAATCCTTGTCCGCATACACTGGGTCGGCCGAAGAGACTGCCCGGCCCTTGTACTTGATCTCGGGCGCCCAGACCGGGGGAGAGGTTGGGCTCTTGGAAGGCCCGGTTAGTTGTTGCTCGGTCTGGCCCCCCGGCTCGGTGGAGGCATGCTCAGTGGAGTCCTCATCAACGAGGAGCTACCCTATCTGGTCTTTCCTCGGTCACTTCTTCGACCGGCCAGCTGGTTGTTCACTGGTAAGAGCCAGTACAGCCCCTTCCTTTTGCCCGGCTGGAGTGGAAAATGTTCCCCTGGTTGCTTCCGGTGGTTGGGACTCGCTTTCCTCACCGGTGATCAGGGACTTGATTGCCCGGATCTTCGCCATTTCTTGCTCGGCAGTGAGATGAACAAGTCTAATCGACGGAAGATTTGGGTCAGGTTCTGGGGAAGGAGCACGGAGGAAGTCGGTAACCCGGCTTTTGCGTGGCGCTTTGTAGTTGTAGGTCGGTTCAAAGCCGAGCAGCTTTGCGGACTCTCTTTCTTCTTCTGGATGGCGCAGTAAGACTCTTATGGCCTCCTGGTTAGCCCGGTGGTAGTCTTCCGCTAAGTGCTTGTAATCCGCAAATAGAGGAGTGTTAGATCGGCACACAGAGAGACTCATGCAACAAGAAAATAGTGCGGTTAGCCGAGCTACTCACTAGCACTTCCAAAATCTTTTCTAATATACCAGCCCGGTATGGGCGCCTCGGTGTCCTCGTAATTATCGGACACCCACAAGAAGTCGTCATCGTTGGTCTCCTTGTCCGGGTTGCCCTCGATGAGTTTTGCTCGGCCCTTCTTAACCTTCAGGTACCAGCAAAACCCACCCTTACTTTTGCTAAGGTTGTATTGATGTAATATCTCGACGAGACCGAGATTGAGACCGAGCCTCCTATTCAGCTCGGCCACACCGTTTATTATCTTGTACGTGTTGTTCAAGACTTGGGTCGGAAAAAGCCTTGTCTGCCTCAAAAATTCGCAGATTAAAGGTTGGACCGGGAAGTGAAGTCCTCCTTCCACGATGGATATGACCGTGAAGGGGCACCGATCTAGGTCACCCCATGGGGTATCTCCCTTCTTGGCCAGCTCTAAATGGACATCGTCTGGAATGTTATACTCCCTACGAAACTTAGCTAGCGCACCGGACGAGCTCACCATGAACCG